GCAACTCACCGCCTCTCACCCTCGGCCTTGTAAAATGCGAGGCACAGTGACCCCCATTAATGCAAAACTAAAAATACTTTGAAATACTTTATTGTCACTTGTACAACTTGTATACAGTGAGATTACACAAGCACCCCCCACTCAGCTCTCTTAGCCTTAATTCCCCTCGTTTACTGACGCACACCCACCAAACCCAAAAGTCAGTTGCCCTGTTGTTATCATTTCATTCAGATTTTCCAAGTAAGGTCTTCACTGAGATAAAGACAGATTAGAAGGCACTTTGCAAATCAGCACGGCAATTCCTTTCTATGTTCACCTGGTAAGGAGCCCTACTGACCCCAGTGGAACTTGCTTTCAAGTAAACATCCATGCAACGGAATTGCATAAGCAATAAGTCACCGTAGGGGGTCAGTGGGGTGAAGCATCTATTTTTCCGTTCTATTCTCGCCCTGTAAAGTGTGTCATGGGCAGCCGTGATGTTGGACACAAGAAAATGTTGCAAGATGAACCGTCTTTCAGGGCAGAACTGAACATTGCAAGAAGCAAAACGAAAAACAAGTGTTGCTGCCAAACGAAAAACAAAACAAAGAAACCCACCAGCATCTTAAGTTTCTTACTTCTCCTCCAAACCAGCTTGGATAACTTAACCCGTGTGCCCTCTTGGCTTCCTTACGCTATGTCATATTTCCCTGCCCTACATCTTTGACATCCACTGGCGGTGATGGCTGAAGCATGTAGCATAATGGCTTAGTTAAGGGCACAAGGTCCCTGGCAAGATATTATTTTGCCCAATGTATGGCTTGAACCCACAACCCTGTGATTAATTGTCTCATGTTGTTTTAGTCACGACCTCTGTTAAGGGTCAAGCCAGATGTGCACTGGGACATCTCTGGTAAGGATCCCTTATGATTTCCAAAATTGTGTGTTTGTTTATTTCAGAGGTATACTTGACACTTTAATGCAGGGGTGTCCAAACTAATTTCAAAGAGGGCCAGATTTGATGAAGTGAACATGCACGAGTGCCAATTTTACCCCAGGACATATACTCACACGGGGCCCAGATTAAATCTATCGGCCCCCGAAATGGACTTTGGACATGCCTGCTTTAATGTAAAGGTAAATGGACCCCTGACCATTAGGTCCAGTCGTGGCCGACTCTGGGGTTGCGGCGCTCATCTCGCTTTATTGGCCGAGGGAGCCGGCGTCCAGCTTCTGGGTCATGTGGCCAGCATGACTAAGCTGCTTCTGGCGAACCAGAGCAGCGCACAGAAACACCGTTTACCTTTCCGCCAGAGTGGTACCTATTTATCTACTTGCACTTTGATGTGCTTTTGAGCTGCTAGGTTGGCAGGAGCAGGGACCGAGCAATGGGAGCTCAACCCATTGTGGGGATTCGAACCTCTGACCTTCTGATTGGCAAGCCCTAGGCTCAGTGGTTTAGACCACAGCATCACCTAAAATTTAATGTATATGTGTGCATTAAAATTTACATCACACATGTTCTGCCACAGACTTACGGGAAGATTAACCTACCACCCAACTCGTGTTTGGTTCTGGTCCAAACTGGACTCCCGTAAAACTGCTATTATTTTTATCATCATCATCAACAACTTAAACCCAGGAGTGTCTGACACCGTGGATTGCTTACATCTGGTTTGATGTTTACATTTGAGGAGTGTACATAAGAGAAGCTGGTCTCCTGACCTGAAGAGAAGCCTGAGAATGCAGATATATTACTGGGCTTGGCTTTAGGTGGAAAAGATGTAGTGGTCTCCTTAGATTCCAGGAAAAGAGGAGTCCAATGCATGAGACATGCATAGCCCTTAAACCTCCAGTTGCACCGATCGTCCTGTAATAGGAGCACAATGAAGCGGATCTATAAATAACCACTCAAGTGTCCAGACGTTCATACCAGGATCGACTGTTGCTCTGAGCCCAGCCATGTTTTTCATGGGGAGCGGGGCATCTATCACAGATACTAGCAAAGTCAAGATCTCATGTGACGGAAGTACAACCAGATTGCAACATAAGCAGAAGTGAAACTAAGTTCAAAAATTAGGCGCAACAGCTGAAAATCTAAAAATAATGGAGCAAGGCCTCAGGGAATTAATATGAGAAGCAAGAAAGCTAAGGGTCCTTTTCTCTGGGTTATATTAGCAAGGGAGCCACAATTCAAACAGAAATATATTAAATGTTATTAATTTAGTTCTACTCAAAGTTCTTGGAGCTAAGCCCAAGCACAAATCTTGACACAATTGCAGTTATTTATGATTATTAAGGGACCAATTATTGCAATGTACTTGGGCCGTGGACTGCTATTCCAGTTGGCCAATTACATGCATCAAAGAGTGGAAAGGAAAGAAATAAAAGTAATGCAAAAACCCAAAAAAGAGAACAACAGATTGTACAGATTTGCATGGAATTTGCATATGCGAATTAAAAATTTGTTTATATATATCCAAATTTAGAAGCAATGTCTGTAATTTAAATAAAAACACACTGGTGTGCTAACCCCAATCTCAGAGTGGTGAGAGACTCTAGCGGTTCCAACACTTACTCAGGGCTTGGTTTCCTCGGAATGAAGGTCAATGGAGACTGTAGTGTCTTTAGGATATATGGTTTTATTAACACATATATGCAACCTGAGCATAGGGTGGGAGGGCTCACAGCATTAGTACTCCAGCAGACCATGCTTCCCCATTAGGTTTCTAGGGAGAGTCCCCCAAGCCACAGAATTAGATACCAGCACAAGGAATCAGAAGCCTTTCTGCCTTTCCAGCTTCCAGTCAACATGAAGACCAGCCCTGGCTATTGTTCTCCTACTTCCATGATCATGTTGCCTTCATTCAGGTGATATGGTGGGGAAAATGCCCACCCCCATTGACATTATCCCTTAGTTGTTTCCAGTGCTATTTTTCTAGTACTCACCATGAACACCTCCCTCGTTCTCCTAGAACGACAATGGCATTCATCTGAGAGGTGCCAGAACTGAGCTCCTGTGAGTTCTCCTTGAAAAAAAGGGCCTGGTTGTTTCAATGGTAACATGGCCACCTCTTTGGTCATGCAAATGGGGGTTCATTCAGTTTGGGCCATCATCTTGCAAAGAGACTGGTTTGACCAGTTCAAGAGGCTCCCTCTTGTACATTCCCCTTGCCGCCACCACCATTTTGTAGATGCCAAACCAGATGGGCTTGTCCAATCCTCTTTTAATGCCATCGAAGTTGGTAGCCATCACTGCCTCTCGTGGGAACAGTTTCCCAGAGTTTAACTAAGCGTTGTAGGAAATAGTACTGTACTTTATTTTGTCTGTCTTGATCCTCCCAACGCTCAGTTTCATTGTACAGTCATACCTCGGGTTACAGACCATAGCTGTCAACGTTTCCCTTTTTTAGAGGGAAATTCCCTTATTCTGAATAGGATTCCTCGCAAGAAAAGGGAAAAGCTGACAGCTATGTTATAGATGCTTCGGGTTGCGCACCACGCCGAACCCGGAAGTACTGGAACGGGTTACTTCCAGGTTTCGGCACTTGTTCAGAAGCACTAAATCGCACGTTGCGCATGCGCAGAAGTGCCAAATCGTGACCTGCGCGTGTGCAGACGCGCCACTGCGGGTTGCAAACATGCTTCGCGCACAGATCACATTCGCAACCCAAGCATCCACTGTACAGTGGTACCTCAAGTTACAGACGCTTCAGGTTACAAACGCTTCAGGTTACAGGCTCCACTAACCCAGAAATAGTACCTCGGGTTAAAAACTTTGCTTCAGGATGAGAACAGAAATTGTGCGGCGGCGGCAGCAGGAAGCCCCATTAGCAAAAGTAGTACCTCAGGTTAAGAACAGTTTCAGGTTAAGAACGGACCTCCAGAACGAATTAAGTTCTTAACCCGAGGTATCACTGTATATCCCTGAGTTGTACAACTCTGAGACAAGGAGCAAAACTTGTCCCTGTCCACTTTCTCTACAGCATGCCTCTTACTCATCTTTTCTCCAAACTAAAACCCCTCAGCTGCTGTAATCTTATCCTCATAAGTGAGTTACTTCACCCCTTTGATTATTCTGGTAGTCCTTTTCTGAAACTTTTCCATATAATCATATGAACACCCCTATTGTTTTCCCTCCTAAGTTATTGACAAAAATGGTAGAATAGCATAATGGCAAGTCAACTAAAATTCACCCCACTCAATGCCAATGTAGAATAATGTGTGCCCAAAATATTCATTTTGTAATGAGATTGTGCTGGCTGAGACAGTTGAGATCTGCCCCAGCGTTCCCTTCTGTTCAGCCTCACCTGTACTTTCGAGTAAAAGGACACCAGTTCACATTGTATTTATAGTAGGGTGTCTGGAACAGAAATAAAATCAAATCTGCGGCCTGCACGTGGAATCCAGGCATGTGTTTGAGAAAGAATCAGACTGCTGCTGTGACTGGTGTTTTGTAGCTACACAAATTCTCAGACGTGTTCCATAAGCTTACTGTAAAAAGGGACACAACCCTAGTCCCTGGTTGCGAGCTCATTTGGGACACGGATAAACTCCATACCCTTTCTAATTGTGCAGCAACTCTGAGCAGGGTATAACTCGAGCTGGCCTACTGGCAAGCTTGCAAGAGTTGTTGCACCCGAGCAGAGACAAAAGGAGCCAAACAACACCAGGGGGTTAATCCAGAGAAAGAGCGTTTTATTCTGCCATCCAGGGGGGCAGAAGGCACCTGTGTGATTCACTTCACAAAAGACAGGCCGCACCGAAAACATTTTACAAGCAGGTTTTATCCTTTTTTGCAAACCCCTTTTTTCCTCTCCCCCTTCACAGGTTCTTACATAGAAATGTTGCTTTTCGTTCTCTGGCTCTGTTCCCGGAAGTATGTTGCAAATCAATGTACCAGGACAAGGTTATTTGGATCTGGGAAGCGAAAGTTTTTCTGTTCTCAGCTATGGGTTTGTTACAGCGTTTTTGTTACAGAGAGGACTGCTTAGCTCATGCCTTTTGTCTTAGAGGAATATGCAGTTTTTAAAATGCGTACGCCGAGGCCTGGCTGGGGTGGGGAGATTCACAAACAGTTTTTAGGGCTTTCTGGGGTAACCCTAACTGTACCCCTTCATTCCATACCTCTCAAATTTGGACAGCCCTTTTCTTAAAAGGGCTCGTCCCAGGAAGGCACAGGCTGATATTCTCGGGTCAGAGCTATAATCTGGGGGCGAAGCATGCGAGAAATCATATTGCGTGTCATTGTATGCAAGCTTTGAAGTTAGCAAGGTACAGAAAAGCAAAAAATTAGCAAAATGAAAAGTGGGCCTAGCAGCAGCAAAAACAGGCCTTTTACCCATCCTAGGTTTGGCAACCAGTCAAGCCATGACATGTCCCATCCCTCCCAGGTTTGGGTAGGAATATGGGCCACTGTTTCAAGTCCTGCTGCCAAATTGCGAATGGCCTCACCATGATCAGAGATGTTAAAGCAACAGGCCCCACCTGTGAGATTTAACGCTGCACAAAAGCCGCCATGTTGTGCCAGGAGAAAGTCCAACGCTAATCGGACTGAGAGAAACGCATTGCGTGTCTCATCCAATTGCGTGGCAATTAGCCTAAGGGCCGTGGCTGTCGTGTTAGCAACAATCTCTACCACTGCCTGGAGTCTGATTACGCGGTTCAAGTTATAGATTGGCCCCCTTGCCCCAGAGATTTTCTCTCTCCGATTCCATGAGGCTGGAGCATAATGGGCCAGTATCCTTTCCGGAGGCCACTGATTTTTGCCCCAATTCTGGGAGCTGCCACCTGCAAGTGTTGCCAGGTCAGCCGAACGCCTCCTTCTACGGGGTGCAGAGGCAATCTGGTCAGGAATCCACATGGGGGGTATTAAGTAGGCTGGAAAACAGACCCCATACCATCCTCTTGGGAGGGCATGATAGGCCTTTCTGCCACACACCCAGTAAACGTCCTGACCATGGGCAGATATGGTGCCTCTCAGCAAGCGGGCCAGGCATGTAGTCAAATTGGAACCAGAAAAGGTTCCTGTCTCGGACTCAAACATGTTAGTTGGGGCTGGGAAGGTACGATCACAGTGGGAAGTGCCCACATAGGTCTGAGAGTCACTTGCGTCATTTGATTTGTTGACACAAAGGCAGCCAGTGATCCTGTGGACCTGGAAAGGGACGGAATGATTCCATAAAGAAGAATGGTTGCCCAGAGGCTGGAAGGCAACAAGTGGAGTTGTAACCAAGGATTCATTCCAAGGCACAGGGAGGAGTGGCATTCCTCCCAGAGCATCTACAGGGGCCAGAGTGCAGACGGCACAATTGGTCCGATTTGCAGAGAACGCAACCATCTCAGCAACCTGAATCCACTTATTATATGTGTGGTGGGCCCCCCACGATTGCAGCAGTTGTCTGGTCACTGTGAGTGGTATTGGTATTTCAAAGGTCAAAGGCAGCAGAAATACCAGCATGGGGACCCACAGTTGTATTTGAGCCATTGTATGCACAGGGAGGGGCTTAGGTAAGTGCTAGAGAGTGGGCTGGGGTGTAATTACGCTGAAAGAAAAGGCCCACTAGACACCCTCCTCTGCAGGGGTGGTGTAAAACAAACTAGGCCCAGGTACCTTCAATAAAGTTCAGTTATGCAAAAGGAAAGGGAAGAAAATGTGAAAATGTCCTCTTTCAATCCATGCTGGATTCTGGAGCCGTGCCAAGCGTCAGCGTCCGGAGTGACGTAGGCAGGGCTGTAGTCTGGTGGGTGTCGGGTCGTCTGGTGGGCGTTGGGCATCTAGGGTCTCTTCCAACAATGCTGGAGCGATGTCTGGGCGTCTGGGTCCTCTGGTGGGCGGTGTAGATCAGGTGTCACAGATGCCGGTGACTTTAACAGCTGTAGATAAACAGGACAGCCTCTGGCCAGTTTACCTGTCAAGAGAAGAGAAAAACAGACACGGCAGCGACTGCGTAGAACAAATTGATAGATAACATTCACATACAAGGTATATTAACTCAAAGGGGATGCTTGGCAGGAAACTTCGCAAGGGGTTAACAGTTCTGTTCCTTGGGTTAAGTTTTTGCCAGGTGAGATTTTTAAAAGTCTTTTCTCTGTGCACTAAGTTTCAGAGCTTTAAGCCATGTTGCAAATTTCAGTTCATTTGCCAGTGTCTGTAGAAAGCACAATGCGCTCCTTGCTTCTGGCAAAGTTTCAAATTCCTCAAAATATCAATTCCTATGCCGCAGCTCCTTTCAGAGTAAAATTGCACCTTAAAAAGAAAAACTTGACAAAGTTCACAGAAAGCATTCACTTGCTTTTAAGAAAGTCACTTCTTCAGGTTAGTACTTTGGGGCAGGGGGGTGGGTAACTCTTGGCCTTCTGGGTTTATGTGGCTGAACTGTAAATCCAGAAAGTGTGAGGTTCAGGGTAGCTGGTTGGCGAGAATGCAGCATTTTCCTCTAGGGATAGCAGCCAAGAGATAACGCTCTGAAGCTACCTCCAAGCGCCTGGCACAAGGGGGGGCGGAGCTGATGTCCTGTTACTTGCATGATTTTTTTTAAAAAACAGTCTTTTCACTTGCTTTTTCGCTGCAACAGTCTTTTTGAGCAAGAACAGAGATGAGAAGAAATCATTTTTGAGAAATCTTATTGTTCCCAGCCTGTGGGGGTGGGGTGTGTCGGGCGTGGGGCCTGTGGGCATTCCATTTCCCAATGACTCCCTTGCCTGCAGATGGCGCACTGGCTTCTTCCCTAGGCGTCTTCTGCCCCTCCCGTGGGCTTCTTGTTTCTGGCTGTCTGGCTGCTGGCCAGCTCTTAGTGCCATTAATTTTTTGGTCTGGTATTTTTCTCTCTGCTTTTCTGTTTCTTCACCCCTCTGATTATAAGTGGTCTGTGCAAGGGTTAACATCCATTCAAGTCGATTCCCCATAAAATCCTCTCTTTTTTTGAATTTTACGTCTTATGTCAGGAGCTGCTTGCATCACAAAGGTGGTTTTTACAATCACCTCTTGGGCATCATCATCAGGGTCTATGGGGGTGTACTTGCGGAATGCCTCTTTTAATCTCTCAAAAAATACTCCTGGAGGCTCATTGGGCAGCTGAAAAATCTCAGATAATTTCGCCATATTTGTAGGCCTTTTCGCTGCCCGTCTCATGCCTTCTAAAACATTTCTGTGATAAGTCTCTAAGGCCGCCCTTCCCTCTGTAGTATTGTAATCCCAAGGGGGGGTCCGCCTGGGGTAAGAGACCTCAATTGCAGCGTCAGTATTATTTGCTGCCTTGAGCTGTTCCCTGGCACAGGCATTTACCTTGCGGACCTCCTCAGTGGTCAGAATTGTGTCCAAAAGCTGACTTACATCATCATAAGTAGGCATATAGGTTTTGAACACACCTTCAAAAAGTCTAATTATTTTTGCAGGATTTTCCTCAAAAGAAGGATTTTGATTTTTCCAATTGCAAATATCGGAGCTTGTAAAAGGGACATGCTGAATGGTAAAGGTCCTTGGGGGTCGAACACCCTGATCATTTGGCTGTTCCAAAGGATCATACACTTGCCTGAGAGGGGCCACCACAGTGGGTTTGGACAAAGCCTTCGATTTAAGTGTCTCTACATGTTTTGTTGCCCTGTCCCATGCTGTTCTCAAAACCTTTTGCTTTTTTCTCCAATTCTCATCCTGGCACTGGGCTGCTTCTAGAACCCAGGGAGCCACATCCAGTTCTGTTTTAAATGGTTCTACATACTGGAACACTCTGTCAAACTGCTTACTAGTCCATCTTATCTCTTTATCTAGAGTTTTCCTGAAGTCATCATCATCATCATCATCACCTTTCTCTTCACCTTCCTGGCTTGCATCACAAGGGGGTTGGGGAGGGGCAGAGGGGGGAATCTTCTCATTTGGGTCCTCAGTCTGGGCATTGGGCGGAGAAGCAGCCCTATTTGCTCCCAGATTTGGTTGCCTTGGCGCAGTGGCTGCATATGGTGGTGGTGGGGGGTAATTATCTCCTCTTCTAGGACTGGCAAAACTGGTGGCTTCTTAACTTGTAATTGTACCGAACACAGTTTGACTTGGGCAGTCAAAATTCTATTTTTCCGAAGCCATGAGGGATTTTGATCCACATTGGCTTTCCAGATAGAAATATAGGGAATCTGATCTGTGTGGGCCTTGAAAATGTTACTCCATAAAATGTTGACCAAGTTTGGATCAAAGGATCCTCCAGGAGGCCATTCTGGTAAATACGAAGGCCAGTCAACTTCACATAAATGTTGGAGTCTGCTTTTTTTGAGTTTACATCCCCACTCTTCTGCTTTCGTGGCACTTTTCCAGTTTTCCAGAAAGCTCTGTAGTGGTGTCTCAAGAATTGTTTTACTGCTTTTATTTCCCATGACTCTGGGATCCTGGGGACACTGGGACACTCAGCCCTCCTAACATTATTTGTTTCACTCAGTCACAGGCCAGACGTTGCTTTCAACGTCTCACACACTCAAAACATTCGCTGGAGTGTCCCCACACGCACATTCAGAAAAACCCATGCACCTCCCCCAATCCCTTTTCCCCCCCAAAACCACAACCGGCAGCGCTTAGACTTCGACCGGGGCCCAAGAGCACCTTTTACTGCTTCTTCTGGGCACAAAAACCAACCACAACCGGCAGCGCTTAGACTTCGACCGGGGCCCAGCAGTACCCTTTACTGCTTTTTCTGGGCACAAAACCAACAACCAACCATAACCGGCAGCGCTTAGACTTCGACCGGGGCCCTAGCAGCACCCTTTGCTGCTTTTTCTGGGCGACACCAAAACCAGTGGCACTTCTTCTACCCTGCTGGCGGAGCTGATCAGGCTCTCTTTTTGCTCGCACCTATCCTTGTGGAGCTTGCTCCCACCTATACCCTGTGGAGCTTACCTTTTTTCTCGAGGTACCTTCTTTCTGCACGGCCGTTGCTCTTTCTCTCCGTCACTTTGTCGCATGTCCACTCAGGAACGGGTGGCCAGTTCCTCCCACGAAGTTGGCAGGATGTGCACTGGAACTGCTGACCCGGTATCCCGAGCTGCTCGCCTTGCAGTGACGCCCTGGACCTCTTTGTCCCTCGATCTCGGGGAACGTGCTTATTCCCGGCCAACGCACCAGAAATATGTAGCCTTATTAATCCATGGGTCGGAATAATTGTTGCACCCGAGCAGAGACAAAAGGAGCCAAACAACACCAGGGGGTTAATCCAGAGAAAGAGCGTTTTATTCTGCCATCCGGGGGGGCAGAAGGCACCTGTGTGATTCACTTCACAAAAGACAGGCCGCACCGAAAACATTTTACAAGCAGGTTTTATCCTTTTTTGCAAACCCCTTTTTTCCTCTCCCCCTTCACAGGTTCTTACATAGAAATGTTGCTTTTCGTTCTCTGGCTCTGTTCCCGGAAGTATGTTGCAAATCAATGTACCAGGACAAGGTTATTTGGATCTGGGAAGCGAAAGTTTTTCTGTTCTCAGCTATGGGTTTGTTACAGCGTTTTTGTTACAGAGAGGACTGCTTAGCTCATGCCTTTTGTCTTAGAGGAATATGCAGTTTTTAAAATGCGTACGCCGAGGCCTGGCTGGGGTGGGGAGATTCACAAACAGTTTTTAGGGCTTTCTGGGGTAACCCTAACTGTACCCCTTCATGATCCTCATAAGTGAGTTACTTCACCCCTTTGATTATTCTGGTAGTCCTTTTCTGAAACTTTTCCATATAATCATATGAACACCCCTATTGTTTTCCCTCCTAAGTTATTGACAAAAATGGTAGAATAGCATAATGGCAAGTCAACTAAAATTCACCCCACTCAATGCCAATGTAGAATAATGTGTGCCCAAAATATTCATTTTGTAATGAGATTGTGCTGGCTGAGACAGTTGAGATCTGCCCCAGCGTTCCCTTCTGTTCAGCCTCACCTGTACTTTCGAGTAAAAGGACACCAGTTCACATTGTATTTATAGTAGGGTGTCTGGAACAGAAATAAAATCAAATCTGCGGCCTGCACGTGGAATCCAGGCATGTGTTTGAGAAAGAATCAGACTGCTGCTGTGACTGGTGTTTTGTAGCTACACAAATTCTCAGACGTGTTCCATAAGCTTACTGTAAAAAGGGACACAACCCTAGTCCCTGGTTGCGAGCTCATTTGGGACACGGATAAACTCCATACCCTTTCTAATTGTGCAGCAACTCTGAGCAGGGTATAACTCGAGCTGGCCTACTGGCAAGCTTGCAAGAGTTCAGAATCAGGTTTTGATAAATCCATTGGCAATACCAGGGCTGGCACCAATACCTGACAGCCTTGGTCAGCTGCAAGAGCCCACAGCCCACAAGTATTGACCCCTGCCATGACTCCTTGACCACAGGCTGGCAGTGAGCAGGTGGCCATTTTGATTTCCCACAATACCTGGGGTGGTGATGTTATACAGTGGTACCTCGGGTTAAGAACTTAATTCATTCTTAACCTGAAACTGTTCTTAACCTGAGGTATCACTTTAGCTAATGGGGCCTCCCACTGCCGCTACCACCGCGCTGCAAGAGCACAATTTCTGTTCTCATCCTGAAGCAAAGTTCTTAACCTGAGGTACTATTTCTGGGTTAGCGGAGTCTGTAACCTGAAGCGTCTGTAACCTGAGGTACCACTGTATACTAATTTCCTCTTTCAACAAACCTTCCAAGTGGATTTTTATTTTTATTTTACCCCGTGTTGCATTTGAAATTGTTTTTCCATGTGTTATTGTTTTAACTGTTTTATATGTAATTGTTTTCATAGGTGCAACTGTTTTATCACTGGTGAATGCTCTACGTAAGTTTTTACTGTGTTGTGGAATAACTTTGCAATGCTTCAAAGGAAGCGATTTGTAAATAAAATCACCATCATGGATTTAAATGTCCCCCACACTGCTGCCATATAAGCCTGTGGATAGTGCTGCACAGGTGTAGCAAGGGGGGGGGGCTTAAACCTGGAGCCAGCCCTGGATAATCCTTCTGGACATCTGTCCAAACTGCAAGAGCACCATGTACAGTGCCTACCATCAGGTCCCAAATTTTAGGTCCCCTAAATCTGCCTCTGCTACCATTCAATGAGACAGAGATTCCTACAGTGTGCTCTTCAGGCACAGTGAATTAACTATGCATTACACCCTACTTCCCTTCCCATGGCCTTGGAAGAATCTTGTGCAGGCCTGAGTTAAGAGCTCTACCAAGGCATTGTATAGACCCCATTAATAACCAGGTTAAGTTACCAGTAGCTATGTGGCGCCTGAAACTCTGAAATCAAATTTCAGCAGAAGACACAATTCCCAAAATCTGTACCAGATGCACATTCGTATGCCCCAAGCGGGGATGCAGTATCCCGAGAGAAGGCATTGGTAGAAGCTGGTCATCCAATTACTGTGGATGGTTTTGCCTACAGACTGTGATGCTGGCTGGAAGCTGGGGATCCAACAAATAAGAAGACTTCTGTTGGACCAGGTCAAAGGCTCATCTAGACCATCATCCTGTTCTCTAGATCAGTGTTTCCCAACCTTGTGCCTCCAGCTGTTTTTGGCCTACAATTCCCATCATCCCTTGCCACTGGTCTTGCTAGTCAGGGATGATGGGAGTTGTAGGCCAAAAACATCTGGAGGCACAAGGTTGGGAAACACTGCTCTAGATGACTATGGGAAGCCTAGAAGCAGAACCTGAGAGCAACATCACCGTGCCCACTGAATGTTCCAGAGGCATGCCATCACTAACACTAAAACATGGTCCTTGTGGCTAGTATTCATTGATGAGTCTTCAAAGGCCCACCAAAATCAATGGGGCTTCATTCCTAACATTGCCTGAATTTTGCCCCAAGTTTGATGGTTTTCATGCCCCTCAACGGGATATCCTGGAATTACAGAAGCCGTCCTGGCTTCTAACCAGATCCTGAGATGTGCTGTTCTGTCTCCTGCAGTAGTTTGACCCTGAAAGAGGCACGTTTTGAGGGGGGGCATGCTGTTTTGCAATCACCTGGCTCCTATGAGAGCACATCCCCCAAAGTCATGCAACCTGATTTTCTTCTGTGGGATATTGGAGGGCATAGATGTCAACGTTTCCCTTTTTTTAAGGGAAATTCCCTTATTCCGAATAGGATTCCTCACAAGAAAAGGGGAAAGTTGACAGCTATGTTGGAGGGTATGGGTTTTTTAAAGCCATCTGGTAATATTCTAATGTGCAATTGGGAAATGAATGCATCCAGGTGTATTTATTTACTGCAGTCCATTATTTAGATTTCTTGTCCTATCCCAACTCCAAGGTCTGCAGCACAGCTTTGTCTCCTTTTATCAACATTTTTTTTTGTGAGGAGGCCTCAGCTGAGAGGGCTGAGGTTCCCTTTGGCCACCCAGGGAGCTTCACAACTGCGCAAAGAAAATATGAGCAGACATCCTTTCTTTTAGAACATATTAATCATTTTGGAGTAGTCGTGGATACCAATGATTAACTTAACGCATTTCCCTCTCCAATCAGTAGGTGTCTGATGAATCCAGGAGCTCCATTTCAGAATTTTGCTAAGCTAAGGGTCCAAATTACATGTGACATTAGTAGGGATGTCAGAGAATTCGGACAAAAATGGAAACAGGAACAAAAATTGCTGATGTTGGCTTATTTGGTTCAGGACAAAAATCAGTCCAGCAAATATGATTGGTGTCATATGGTCAGAGACTTCCTCACTATGGGACTGGGGTTTTTTTCTGTAGCAATTATTTCCATGTTTGCATCATGTATCAGAATATGCACATGTTACTCTTAATTCAAACAAGCCCTGTAGCACACCATCTGCATGCAATATGTAATATCAGTAGGTGCAAGTATAACCTCCCTTAGGGCAGGGCAAGGATCCTCAGAACCCAGCAGGGTCTTCATTCCGTTAGAGGCAGACAGCCGTAATTAGAAAGTACCTTCTGTGGAAACTGGAGGTTGTCAGGGGAGCAGAGAGGTCTAAGGTGTCGAGCGAACGCAAATAGCAATAGCAAGCAATTTGAACATGTGGGTCAGAGTTCAGGTGGGGTTTGCTAGAACAGGATCTGAATCAAAATTTCGGCCTCAAGCATTCTTGCAGTGCAAAACAAATGCAAAAGTCCAGGATGCAAATGCTGTCAAGGTGTGTTGCCCCCCACAAATGGGTCTGATGCAATTAACTGCAAAAGTGTTTTAGGTTAAATATTGTATGTGATTTTTTCTTCTTCTGGCATACGGTGTATCTGTTTAATATAGCCTTGTAAGATCTGTTTAATACAGCCTTGTAAGACATCACCTTGCCAACAAAGGTCCGTATAGTAAAAGCTATGGTTTTCCCAGTAGTGATGTATGGAAGTGCAAGCTGGACCATAAAGAAGACTGATCACCAAAAAAAAATAAATGCTTTTGAATTATGGTGCTGGAGGAGACTCTTGAGAGTCCCATGGACTGCAAGATCAAACCTCTCCATTCTTAAGGAAATCAGCCCTGAGTGCTCACTGGAAGGACAGATCGTGAAGCTGAGGCTCCAATACTTTGGCCACCTCATGAGAAGAGAAGACTCCCTGGAAAAGACCCTGATGTTTGGAAAGATGGAGGGCACAAGCAGAAGGGGACGATGGAGGACTAGATGGTTGGACAGTGTTCTCAGTGTTCAGTGGACTCAGTTGACACATTACATCCCTTTCCTGGAATGAAAGCCACTGAAGGTTTAAGGTATTTCTTATATACACACACATGTACAAGCTTGGCATCAGGTGGACCATCCACAGCATTAACAGTCTAGCCGATGCTGCTCCCCCGTTAAATTTCTAAGGAACCCCCAATGTCATAACACTGGGTTCTCACAAAAGAGAAGAGTCCTCTGGCTTTTCAAGGACCAATCTGTTGACGCATTGATGACATCACCTCCAGCCAATGGAGGAATAAAAGTCAGCAATGTCTAGGCAACACGATGACCATGTACATACACAATAGACAATCTTTATAGAATTCCTTCAAACCATAACAAGTACAAAACGAAATCTTTAGTCTCAAAGTCTCTGAAAATCTTTAAATGAAGCGAGGTACCAGACTTTGTATGACGAAAGACAAGCTGTGAAGCTTTGTGTATTCAGCAAATATGATGTCCAACACTGAATAGTGATTCCGGATATTGACTACTGTTTCGTAGAATTCTTTGTCAGCATGGTGGGAGGATATAGAATTGCTTCATAAACCCATCTATTTCGAATGAATGTATGTAAATGAAAATATCAAATGCTGT